ATGTCTGCGCAGGTGCACAGCACAGCAGGGAAAGAAAGCAAGGGGAAGGGAGTGCAGTGCAGGGTGATCAAATGATTCCATGGTGCAGCAGTGGGAGGGGATGCAGACGCACTCTGTAGCAGTGAGAAGGAATGACTGTGGGGCAAGCAGCCTGGGAGAGCCATGGCTCACCCTGGTATGGGCTACAGGGTGTGCGCCCCTGGAGGTGCAGCCCATAAAGTACGCAACACCTGGGTGCTTAGAAGTTGGACAGCCTTGGTCTAAAGATATACGTCAGCTGTGAGGATCCACCAGTATATTTTGAAGGTCTGAAAAGTGATCAGTGTGTGTTTATGCTGTGTCAAACATAAAAATTCCACAGGTAAATGTTTTTCCTAAATAATGGGATAGACCTGTGCTCCACTGCTTATTCACATAAAACACTGCAGTCGTGGTTTCCCTCATTATGTGGACAGCTCGATTTTGATGTAGGATAGGAGGTCCTTACAATGAAGATGTCTGACCCTAAACTCTTCTTTCCTGATATGGAGACAGCCTTCTCATTGTGATCACCAGCCTTGCACAGCAAATTTCTTGAGACAGATTCCTCACTTCCCCACTGAACTGTAGGAAGTAGTAGGAAGTACCTGAGCAAAAGGCACACCTTTGCATAATTTCAGTAGGTATTTCCAGAGGATTTAAATTCCTTTTGTGGAATGTGCATTCTTCAGGTATCTATGCTCTGCTCAGTTTAGTTACAAAGTGTTTGTTTGACCAAATCTGCAAGGAAAGCAGATGCAGTCTGATGTACAAAATCTGTGTGCACAAAGCCATCTGACTAATAACCAAAGGAGTGTACTTACTGTGGCCCAACCTGAAGATGGATGTTCAGCTGATATAATCAAATCTAGTGTCTGGTAGACACATTTTTATTGCACTGAAGTCCATTAAGGCTCTAATAATTCTTGGTAGGAATTAAGTAAGACTTATCTCTGTTTATTTTCAGCCTTTGCATGGTTAAGAGATGTAGAATGTACTGAATGTTATTCTATAACTTCCTGAGGAGGAAAGTTTTGCACCAACGAGTCATCAAGAAATGTACTTATAAAGACATTTTCTTCTTGATTTACCTACAATCAAACATGTTGCATAATTCTTGGAGCTGAGGACAGAATGACTGGCAGCATTCTGAACCAGTAATGTGCACTACCCACTAAAAAATTCCAGCCTTGTGCCACACTGTTTCAGAAGTGGAAGTGCACGTCTTCTTGATCAAAAACTATGAACCAGAGGTAGAGGGAGGAAAGAGCTGCCATTTCAAACTTGGTCTGAAGTACAAAAAAAAATGTAGATCTGTCAGGTCTCATGCTAATTTTTTTCGGAGCCAGGAAGTAACAAAAGTAAAACCTCTTTCCTAAAATATTCTCTCTCTCATAAGAGTTTATTGGAACAGGAAAAGACCCTTAAAGAGAGACAGCAGAGAAAGTTGAGAATAAGAATATTCTGGAACTGAACAGATAACCTCTCTCTATTACTACCAGTACCCATCTGTTTATAAAGATACTGTTCTAGATTTCCTAAAATACATACAAATGATTTCGAAAAAGAGAGGGAAGAGATTTGTTGACAGCAGCAAAGACACTACTCCAATGAAACCAATCTTTGACTAGAAGCTAGGCCACAGCAGACAAGGATCTTTTCTTGCGAAGATTAAGTCTTCTTTTTAGACTTGCCCAACTAGGCTTAGTACAACAAGTGCTTGTGATGGGTGGCAATAGGTCAACCTTTGTTTTTGTTGAAGTTACTTCTTCATCTGTAAAATATAAATATTCAAGAGAATAGTTGTGATGGTCCAGGAAATATGGGAGGCAAGGATTTTTGTAGGTGATATCTTGTATTGGATTAACTGCATGATTGGGATAAATTTAGCCTTCTGAATGCAATGCATTCTTCAGTCTTACATGAAAGACCTGCAAGAGAATGCATTGTATTCAAAAGCTTCCCTAGGTCTATCCCAACCATGCAGCTGGTCCCATAAAAGAAAGGCAGGGTGTTGATAGGAGTCTTCAAATACCTGAACAATAGACTACTAAAATACTCTATCCCCTGTGACCCCAAAGGAGATAGGGCAAATAACAACAGATCTCAAACTGAAGCACGGAATACACAGGTTAGAAATTAGAAAGAACTCTCTCAATATAACAATGAGTATGCACCAGAACAGACTACAGAAGTTATGAAATTTATATCCTCAGAGTTTAAGAGCAAGTTAGAAAATACATGTCTAGGATGGCTGACTCAGGGATAATCTTGCCTTGTTGAAATTGATGACCTCCTGAGATCTTTTCCAGCCCTACTTTTCAATTACGCTATGAAAGATCCCTAATCAACAAAATACTCTGATCAGCTGCAAAGAACAAAAAAAAATATATTCTTAAATTAAATACTTTTCTGCATTCACTAAAAAAATGGCCAAACATGATTAGAAGTGAAAGAAGTCCCTAACACTGGAGACAACAAACTTACCAGTTGCATCCTGGGAGGGTTCACCAAGCAGCACAAGACGGTTATACTGATGAAAGGGTAAAGATAGGTGGGCAAAAGGACACCTACCCAAGCCCAAAGGCCAAGTGGCTTTTCCTCTTCACTTCTCAAAAATAAAGATTGGGAAGGTGCGTGGGGAAAATATAAAGTTCAATTTAAAAGTTTAAAGAAGAGAAATCAGGGTAGAAGATTTTTAGGGAAAGAGAATGTTTAAACTACCAGGCCATTAGAACATTCTGACTCAGTCAGAAAAGGCTGAGAGGAACTGAGGAACAGTGTGTGTGGAAATATTATCCTTTATTCTCTCAGTATAGAAACATGAGCGGACAAAGGGCTCAAGTATACTTTAGGACTACATCTAAAGTAAAGAAAAAGATCTTCAACCAAAGGATCAGAGTGAAGCCAAGTACAGAGAGCCAAAAAGCCCAAGGCCAAATCAATTCAATTTTTGCAGGTTTCTCTGAACTGCATAGATTGAACCGATAAGCAAGTGACCTCATGTTCACTTTTCATACAAAAAGGCAGCCAGAACCCTGCAGTGGCCCATACCAGTAGCCAGGGGGCACTAGAGCATACCTCAGCCAGCTGGCCATGGCAGAGAGCCAGGCAATTCCCCCAGCCACACCCCCACTTCAGCCTCTGGGCCAGCTGAAGAAGGGTTGGGGGGCAAAAATCCACCCCTCCAGCCCAGCAAAGAACGCCCAACCAGGAGCAGCCCAACCGGGGAGGGTGGGGGAAAACCAGGGGCTTTCCTCTGTCAGCCCAGAGCCAGGAGTGGGTCTGGAGTGCCACAGCCACACACCCCTGCCCTGTCTCTAAGAAGCTGAGACAGGGGGCTGGGGGAAACCCACACTGAGGCTTGGCTCTGCCCTCCAGTGCCAGAAGTCTGTTTGAAGTCCCCTAGCCCACACCTGGGCTAAGCTCTAACTCCTGGAGCCAGAAGCCAAAAGCAGGGCTAGAGGCCCTCAGCCATGCCCCCTCCTCCGTCTCTGGCCCAGTTCAGAGGGGGTGGGGAAAGCCTGCACCAGGGCTAGGCTCCACCCCCTGGAGCCAGGAGACTGAAGAGGGGGCATGGCAGGGGGACTCCAGCTCCACTCTTGGCTCCCAGCTCTGGGGGACACAGCCAAGCCCCAGTGCGGACCCCCCACACACACACCCCTAGCTGAGCCGGAGACTGAGGAGGGGGTCATGGCTGGGGTACTCCAGGCCTGTTCCTGGCTCCCAGAGGTAGAACCAAGCCCCAGTGTGGGCTCCTCGCCCCCCAGAGCTAGGCCAGAGACTGAGGAGAGGGACTTGGCTGACGGGATTCTAGCCCAACTCCTGCTTCCAGGCATAGAGACATGCTCCCCCTCACCCCAAGCCAGGCTGCACCTGGCAGGGGGTCCAGTGCAGGGCTGGAGAGGTGGGTTCTCTGCCCGCCCCCCTGAACACCCTCTTCTCAGACAGCCAGAGGCATGCTAGTGCTATGGCTACGGAGTCAAGGGACGGGCAGACCCTGCTCTGCTGGAACAGACAGCACACCCCAGGGCTGAAAAGCCTCCTGGGATGCTGGGAGACTGAGTTAACTTGAACCAGCAAGGGATCTGGGACAGAAGTTCTATAAACCAGTATGACCTAAATGAGTTAAGTCTGATACTACATCCATCCAGGTTAATCTTAAACCATTCCAGCTATTTTGAAAGCAGTTTAAGTGCACTGTACTTCAGTTCTGTTACAGGTTTAAACCTGTTTCTGATCACTTTAAAAGGTTTACGTGTAACTTCTGTCCCTAGCCTGAGACACAACCATAATTAACAATGTGTATGTGGACAATTACTCAAAGAAGAAGCCTACTCAAATCCAGTGTAGCATTACCCCAGGAAAAAAAAACAAGGATAAAAATCAGTACAAGTTCTACTTGTGTAAGGGTCATATACATCTGAAGCTGTCCCAAGGTAACAATGTGCTATTAGCAAGCAGACTGTTATCTGTTCCCCACTGCCTTGTGGCAATAATAGTAATAATGCTGGTAATAGAGTCTACTGCAGGTGACTATACCAGCATAGTTGCTCCTTTGCCAGTTCTGCACCTTCATGTAATTTACATCAGTATACAAAACCTATTAAATTACACTGATGGAAGCTTGTTGTGTCTGTCCAGACCCATAATGAACTGAGCCCACTATAATGAAATTACCCATTGTACTGTGATGCTAAAAATAGATTTTTTTTTTCATTTAAGCATGACACTTCATTTAATTAAATTCTTTGTTTACTGAATTAAAGATATTTTTCAGTCTACACAGTGGAATTGTTCTTGATCCTACTAATGCTTATACAGAGGTTTAATCTTCAACATGTTCATAGTCCAAATAATTTCAAATGTAGCTTTAAAGTCAGCTATGTGAGTGAGTGTTTCAAGAACCTCTGTCTATGAGACAAGTAAAATTAAACCTGCAAGTACAAATTAAAATTTTTACTTTCAAAACATGCACATACCTTGTACAATCCAATGCCAGGGTCAATAAGAAATGAGCGAGCAGAAGTAGATGGCTGATTGGGAGATCCACCACTTGTTTTCTTGACTTTGTTTTTACAGTTGGAAACAGCACATGGATTGCCTTCTCCATCATTATTAGTCATAGAAGTGGTAGTGGGAGCATCAGACTCAGTACGTATCAAAAGCTGAACTATATCATTCAGTCCAACATTGTAATCAAATAAAGTATGTCCATCTTCCAGCTGTCAAAAAAAAGAGTAAAATTTGTAGAGCTCCATCTTATTTTTAAGTATGAAATTTTCTAAAATTTCCCTTTAAATACATTAACTCTAAACAATAAAAAGTTGTGGCAGATTTTTAAAAAAAAATCTGCCCAATTTATTTCAAGTAACTGTATGAAACCCATGGCCTCAATGAACTCAAGAGCAACTCCTATTGGTTGAAATCTTGGTGTCACCAAACCCAATGAGATTAACAACATAAAACTAAACAATTATCTTTGCAGAACCTGGGCTTTATCACAAAGTGGTATTCGAGATAGATATTTCCTACTAGAATTACAAATATCATAACAATGTGTTAAGCATGGGTAAAATGAGATTTTGCCAGCAGTTACAGTACTGTTTACAGCAGGACTAACTTTTGAGTGGCCTGGGGCCACAGGTCCTGTGGGCCCACCACACTGCGCTATGCAATGTGTCCCCTGCCCATGCCTCTGCTCTATACACATCACACCACATGCCCCAGAATCCTACTAGCTGAACCCCACTTAGATCCCTCCATTCAGGCAGCCTATTCTGCCTTCATTCCC